ACATGGAGGGAAGCATGCAGTGTTGTACTTCAAGGCTCTATTGGGCCTAGTACAACATTTTCGTAAAAGAGCTAGATGAAGGAATAGATGGGGAACTCAACAAATCTGCAGACAACACCAGCCTAGGGGAAATAGCTAATATTTCAGAAGACAAACTCAAGATTCAGAAGGATCTTGATGGACTTAAACCCTGGGCCTTATTCAATAAATTGCAATTCAGTGTTGACAAAAGTAAGGTCCTATACATAGGCAAGAAAAACCAAATGTACAGGTATAGAACAGGTGGTACCTGGCTCAACAGTAGTATTAAATGAGAGGAATCTAATGTCCTAGTGGACTAGCACTTAAGTATGAGCCAGCAGGGTGCTGCAACTGCCCAAAAAACCAATGCAGTCCTAGGCTGCATCAACAGAGGGATAGCATCTAGATTCTAAGAAGTAAGTGATAGTGCAGCTTTATACTGTACTGGTAAGACCACACACTTGGAATACTGCATGCAGTTATGCTCACTATGATACAAAAAAGGTGCTGAGTCCCTAGAAAGAGTACAGAGAAGAGATAATGATAATGGGTCTGGAGGCTAAATCATACAATGAACAGGTGAGGGAACTAGGTATGTCTAGTCTAATAAAGAGGAGGACTAGGGGTGAGATGACAACAGTACTTGAGGAGCTCTCATGAAGAGAGGACAACCTATTTTCCAAAACACCTGAAGGCCAGACAAGAAGTAACAGATAGAAGATCATTAAAGGAATCCAACTTAGAACTAAGGAGAAATTTTCTGATGGTAAGAACAATTAATCAATGGAATGGCTTCCCTCCAGAAATTGTGGGTGCTGCATCACAGGAGGTTTTTAAGAAAAGACTGGACAACAGTTTGTCTAGAATGATAGAAGGTCTGCTCAAGTAGGGAGTTGGACTAAAAGACCTCCAAGGTCCTTTCCAGCACTGTTATTCTATGTTCTATTTCTTTAAAAATTATGAGCTAAGTATTCTCAACTACAACAGACTCCATATAACCTAATACCAAACCATGTTGCACATATTTGCCAATACAGTCATACTTCGGCACTCAACTGCTTCAAAACTCATCAAATTCGGTATTCAATGATGTTATTTAATTTGATTTTAGAACAGAAATTATTTATTTATTATTGTGGTTTTTAGTATCGCCTGTTCACCGCCCTGAGTCCCGTAAGGGAGATAGGGCGGTATATAAATTTAATAAATAAATAAATAAATTTTAAAGCAGAAATTTTGTCCTGGGATTCATCTTTCTCCCAGTATTGAATGCATAAGGAAGAAATTGTTGACATCGGCTATCTCATGATTCACTATTTCTTCTGGCTGAAATAGTGGGTCACAAGGTAAGTCATGTGGTTTTCTCAAAACTAGTTAGTTTTAGGATTCATCGCATCTTCCAGAACAAATTATTGACAAGTATCAATAACTAAATTTGGCCAACAATATTCAAAAATCTTGAGAGACTCAAAATAATAAGTTTGCATAACCCACATGCAGTCTCTGGGGCAATCAACCCAACACAGTAATCTTTATCACTATTTTCATTCCATAAGCAAGTCAAATGGCAGACGGTAATGGATATACATAGCTTTGTCTAAAACAGCCTGGATATTACAGGGCCTTGCTCAAATATGGAATTTGACACAGAGAGCAATAATTGATTTTAGTGTCAGATAATTTTATCTCAATTGAGAAAATTATTATCGCTTCTTCCAAGGAAATATCCATCATTTCCATCATCTCAGACAAATGGTTGTCCAATCTCTTCTTGAAAATTCCACCAACGGAGCACCCATAACTCCCGGAGGCAAGCTGTTCCACTGACTGTTCTCATTGTCATGAAATATCTCCTTAGTTTTAAGTTGGATCTCTCTTTAGTAATCCTTTTCCTGCCCTCAGGTGCTTTGGAAAACAACCCCCTCTTCTCTGTGACAGTCCCTCTACTGAAAGATAGCTATCATTTCACCCCCCAATCCTTATTTTCATTAGGCTGCACACACCTAGTTCTCTTAACTGGTCATCATACAGTTTAGCTTCCAAACCTGTTATCTTTATTGCTTTTCTCTGCACTCTCTCTAAAGTCTCAACATACTTTTTATATCATGATGACCAGAATTGGACACGATAGTCTAAGTTTGGGCTCATCAGTACAATATAAAGTGGTACTATCACTTCTCATGATCTTATTGCTCTGCTGATGCAAAGTACGATTGCGTTGGCTTTTTTGGCAACTGTAGCACACTGCTGGCTCATACTTAAGTGGTGGTCTATTAGGTTACCTAAATCTCTCTCACAGTTACTACTGTTAAGCTAGGTGCAACTATTCTATACCTGTGCATTTGGTTTTTTCTGCCTAACTGTAGGACCTTACTTTTCACATCACTGAACTGCATCTTGCTGTATACGGTCCAATATTTAAGTCCACCAAGATTCTTCTGAATCTTGAGCTTATCTCCCAAAGTGGTCACAATTCCCTCTAGCCTGATGTTGCCTGCAAATTTGATTAGCTCCCCTTTTGTCTCTCACTTGACTATGAGCCAGCAGTGTGCAGCAGCAGCCAAAAAAGTTAATACAATCCTGGGTTGTATAAACACAGGCATAGAATCAAGATCACGCAAAGTATTAGTACTGCTTTATAAAACCATAGTAAGACCACACCTGGAATACTGCAGCCAAGTTTCGTTACCATATCACAAAAAAGATGTTGAGAGTCTGGAAAAAATTCAGAAAAGAGCAACTAAGATGATCAAAGGCCTGGAGAGTAAAACATACAAAGAATGGCTATGGGACTTCGACTTGGTTAGTCTAAAGAAAAGGAAAAACTAGGGGAGACATGATAGCAGTATTCCAGTATTTGAGGGGCTGCCACAAAGAAGAGGAGGTCACATTATTCACCAAAGCACCAGAGGGCAGGACAAGAAACATGGTTGGAAACTGACCAAAGAGAGAAGCAACCTGGAATTAAGGAGAAACTTCCTAACAGTGAGGACAGATAACCAGTGGAACAGCTTGCCTTCAGAAATTGTGGGCGCTCCATCACTGGAGATTTTTAAGAAGAGAGTCACTTGTCTGAAATGGTATAGGTTCTCCTGCTCGAGCAGGGGGCTAGACTAGAAGACCTCCAATATTCTATTATTCTATTCTATTCTATTCTCATTTATGAAGATGATATATCCACAGCAGTTCTCTGATCCACTAACTTTGTCATTTTGTCAAAGAAGGCAATAAGATTTATCTGTCATGATCTTTTTTAACAAACCCATGCTGGCTTCTAGTAATCACCTTGTTCATTTCTAGGTAGTCCGAAATGTAGTCAATGATCTTCCAATTCCTATTTAAGCTGGGCAAAACATGCATCAATACAGGATCAGGTAGGTTAAGTATAAAATGCACAAAAAAGTAACTGCACATATATGCTGATAAGAGTCCGAGCTGTCAGGAATTCTGGAAAAGAGAACTGGGAATAAAGTAATAGGACAATGAAAATATCAGCTTGGGGTGTAGCAGCTGTGAAAAAAATGTCCGGCACAAGGTAACTTTAGAAATGCATTGAAAATTAAAGCATCTTGTACAAATGTATGGTATTTCTGCATCTCAATGCAGTGCTGGTTATATTTGAAAAATATAATTCAGCTGCAAAACATGCAGAAGATAGCAACCAAAATGATCAGAGGGCTCCAAATGTCCCTTCAAGAAAAGGCAAGAAACCAGGATCTGAGATGTGAAAAAACAGCAACTGAGGACAGGCATGAATGAGTTATATTAAACTATTCATGACATTAGAAAGTGAACATGGAGAATTTCCACACACACACACACACACCAGAAAGGCAACCTGTTGTACGAGCTAAGGAGTTGGACTAGAACCTGGGAGACTATGAGTTCTAGTACTCCATGAGGTACAGAAGGAAGCTGGATGATTTTAAGTCAGTTGCTATGTCTCAGCTCACCACACCTCACAGGGTTGTAATTGGAAGAAAAGGGAGCATTACAGGCATAACCCTGAGTTGCACAAAATAAAAGCAGAATAAAAATCGAATAAATAATAAACACTAAGACAAGTTGATCAGTGAAGCTAACTGGAAGACGTGAAACAGACAGCTGTGAAATTCATTTCCTCAAGATGTATGATGGTCCCTAACTTGGACAGTTTTTAAAAGGGATTGCGTGATTCAACAAGGTCAACTTTATTAAAGATCTATCAAAGGGTCAAAGAGTTATCTCCAGGTTGGAGGTAGTTTGCTTCCAAATATATGTTGCAAGGGAACAAGTGATGAAAGGTATTTTTCCACCTCTTGCTTGGAGGAACTAGAGGCATCTGGCTGGCTCCTATTGGAAACCAAATGCTGAACTAAGCTGGATCTTGCCTGACTCAACTCTTATATTCTAATCTGCCCTGATCCCTTCAAAAGTATTCTAAGAACAGCTTCAGAGCACTCTGGAAGGAGACTTTACTGCTGGCTAAAAAAATGCAGATAAAGGTCACAGCTTGTTATGTATGTTTACTTTTTCAATGGACCTTAATCCAGGCATGATATAGAAACTTTTAAAGCAGAATATAAGGTTGAACGGTGCAAACTGCAGATGTTACATGCCATTAAAGAAAAATCAAGTGAAGATTGGGGTTAAGGTTAATCAAGATACAGTCCAGGAATCCTGCAAACGCGGAGAACTAAATCTATAGAAAAAACTTCCCAAAAAAGTTGGTGATGCAAGGGTAGAGCCGAGGCCTGACTCACACTCAGGCAGGCAGAATTCAGACTCTGTTATTGGACGGACCCATGAGGAAAGGAAACTTCCTGCCTCGCCCCGTCGAGAAACTGATGGGGCAATGCCTGCACCCATATACAAGGCCGAGCCGGCTCCACCAGCGCAGGGAACCAAAGAAAAGGCAGGTAGGGCAGCTCCGCCAGAGGACTACCCCAAATCCCTCTGCAACAAGGCAGGTGGCCTCCCTCTCTCTCAAAACTACTTACAAATTTCCGCGGTTTCCCCCCGCCGCCGCCTCCACCTGGCTCTCCTGCTACCGCAGCTACCGAAGACTCGTCAGCACTCTTGCCTTTCTTCTTCTCTCGGGCGGCTCCGCGCACGAAGCCGGACCCGCTCCCGCCGCTCTCCATTGCACTGGGCTACTGGCAAGGCTCGCGGCCCGTAGATGACACGACTTCAACTTCAGCGAGCAGAACCAGAAGCGCAGCAGCGGCCAAAGCTGAAGGTGTCTTGCTACACCGGAGACGAGCGCCCGCAGCAGGACTCGCTCACCAACGGCTGATTTAACTATGAACCGCTGCACCGGCTGGGCAGAGCCACTGCTTCCTTGTAGTTCGGAATGTACGCCACGCCCACTGTGTCGTCATCGCGTTCCAGAAAGTAGGCTCCTCAAAATGAGAACGCGGGAAGCCGCCTCTCTGTGGTTGAACAGGTACCGTTGTTATAGAGATAGATCTTGTAGAAACGCCGAGGACGAAACTTCCAAGTTCCCTTTGTTTTTGTTTTTTCCGGGATCGAAAATGAAGCTACTTAATCAACCCAATTATTGGAAACCGATATTTTTTTTCTCATTTATTTTTTTCCTTCGTTTGAAAAAGGTGTGTTTAAATGCAGTTTTTAAACTCTGTAAACAATTTTTGGTCGTTTCCAGCAAAACCTCACAAAGAAATAGCCATTTAGGTCAAACAAATCTCACAATCCAACTGGGGCATTCGATTGCTTTCAAAAGTCTTGGATCAATTGACTTGTGTTGCCAACGTTACTCAAGACTCAAAATATGTTTCATAATAAAAGCCGTTTTAAAAATGTAGGAGGACCTACTTTTTCTGCTAGTTTTACTATAATACGTTTGAGCTATGCTGAAATCCAGGATTTTTGTACTGTTTTTACACTAGCAGAAGTCATTTATATTACAAGTACTCATAGTGAAGCCAGGGTCTATGGCCACAATATGACTGAATATTATAGATCCATAATTAATACCTATACATTATAGCTTTTTTCTCTATTGCCAAAAGCCTCAAACATTCTGTATGTGAGGCCTGTTTTTCCTAATTTTGAATCTTGTATGTGAAATGAGAATATCCAACACTGAACAATAATAGACTGAAAATGTAATAAAAAGCAACAGGCATGTAACATAAGCCCTTCTATCAGAAAATTTCTTCTTAGTTTCAAATTGGATTTCTAAGGAGCCAGCCATTGTTTCTTGTCCTGCCCTCAAGTGCTATGGAGAATAAGTCGACCCCCTCTTCTCTGTGACAGCCCCTAAAGTACTGGAAGACAACTATTATGTCACCCCTAATCCTTCTCTTCAATAGGCTAGACCAGTGATGGCGAACCTTTTAGAGACTGAGTGCCCAAACAGCAACCCAAAACCCACTTATGTATCGCCGGGTGCTGGGTGGGCATGGCCCATTGGGTGGGTGTGGCTATGGTAGTCATGGCAGACTGGGTGGGTGTGGCTACGGTGGGTGTGGCCACCTTGATGCTCCTGAGGAGGGATGCCTATGGGGGCCGGGCAGGGTTGGGGGAGATCCAGGGGGTCTCTGACAGGTGGGGCAGTGGGCAGGAGGCTCGTCCTGCAGGGTGAGGCAAGGTGAGGGAGGGGGCAGGGCAGGGGTGCCATTGCCATGGGGCAAGGCGAGGCAGGGGCTGGGGCAGGGGCTGGTTGCAGACAAAGGGCGGCTCCGGTGAGGAGGAGGTGGAGGAAGAGGGTTTAAGTAAGCTTAGCAACCAGAGTGGGGATCTCCCCCCAAAACAAATGTGCTTCGTGGGTAACCTCAAAGCATGACAGAAGAGACCAAAACCTGCTGCAACCACCCAGCAGATGGGAAGGGAATAAAAACCAAACAGCCACTCCCCCGCCAATCCTCAACAGAAATGCTCACGACAACGAAAGCCTCGGACATGGGAAAGAATGCGGGCAGGCGGGCATCTTGCTCAGCTGATGGCTTGGGGGGGAGGGGGCAGCTACATCCCCTCCCAAACGCTGCCCTCTCACGAAAACAGGATGAAAACTCCAAAAAGTGACAACGAAAAAAAGTTAAAACAGAAGAGTGTCTCGCAATGGTTTTCTTCCCCACTTCCTTCTAGCTGCAGTTTAAATATGTAAAGACCACAAAATAAAAAACTTGGCTTTCTCTTGTTTTAATTCAGAAGGCAGGAATGGGAGGATTGGGGGGGGGTTGTTTGTTTCAAAGGAAGGGAAGAATGTTGGCTGAGGAATTCTGGGAGTCCACAAGTCATAAAAGAACCAAGTTTGAAGATCCCTGTTGTAAACCAATGTTTGGAAACACCTCCATGAGAGCCAGGTTTTGCACACACATGTATGTTTGGGACTACATCACCCTGTTCCAGTCTGATCCCTCCTGAACATGGGTGTCCACTTAAAATTAGGGACCTCCTAATTTTTCAGGCCTTCCAACGCGCAGCTCCCCTCCTTCATCAAACCATCACCCAACAGGACAGGAATTGCCTGCAGACAGAAACCGATGAAAGTCGAATCGGTTTTCAAGGCGGCTTAGTCAGGAAAAAGGTCCGAACATGCCCAGGTCGGTTGATTATCTCAACAACTTAAACCAAACGCTGCATCTAAGCGGCCACTCCGCTACTTCTTCCACTTACTGAGCCCGGGACTCCCCCCCTCAGGCTTAAAAATCTTCCAGGCCAGCCCAACACACGGCTTTCCCAACAACTGGAGGATGGAGCTCCCATCATCCACAGTCAGCCATACCTCCGGCCTGTTTGCTGGCAACAACGCTGGAAAATCGGTCCAAAGGGAGCCAGTCAGTTAGCTCCAATTCTCAAAACTCGCAGCTTTGGACGGAGAAAGTCTCCACACAGTGGCGGAAGGACCAGCACCCAGCCGGGCCAACCGCAAGCCCTTGGGGGCTCTGGTGCCAAATGCAACTGGCCAGTCGTTCCCCCGAGTCAGAGAAGCCATTGTCTGCATCACACACTGAATCACAAGCCTGGGGAGAGGGTTGGCCACGGGGGAGACAGACCGACCGACTGAGGTAAGCTGCCACCCCTCCCGTGGCTGCCGCTGCCACCCCTCGCCCGGGCTCCGAGCTGGCCCACTCATCGCCAGAGCTTGCCCAGCGTCTTGCTGACCTCAGCGTTGTGCTGGTGTGGGTACTGGTTGGCCAGCTTCCTGCATGCCGCCTGCGCCCAGACCATGAAGGCGTTCATGGGCCGCTTGATATGTGGCTTGGTCTTCAGCACTCTGTGGCCCCGCACCGGCATGGGCACCAGGCTCCAATCATAGCCCTTCAGCACCTGAGAGATGGCATCCCGGATGCAGGTGAGGAAGCGCTCATCCCTGTTTGGCCCTGCCTGTCTTAATCAGAGCCTGCCCGGGTCGCCGCCGCCGCCACCACCATTGTCATGCACGAGGCTGGGCAGCTAACTTCTCCCCGGCCCCCGGACGAGGTAAAGGAGGCCAAATTCCAATCCCCCCTGACCCTGCTCTCACTGGCTGGCTGGCTGGCTCCTGGGCCCTGCCTGGCTTACTAGAGCCTGCCCGGGCCGCTGCCGCCTCCGCTGCCGCCATTGCCGTGCATGAGGCTGGGCAGGCAACTTCTCCCAGGCCCCTGGACGAGGTAAAAGGGGCCAGATCCAGATCCCCCCACCCAACCCTGTTCTTGCTTGCTGGCTGGCTGGCTCCTGGGCCCTGCCTGGCCTACCAGAGCCTGCCCAGGCCACCGCCGCCACTGCTGCCATGCACGAGGCTGTGCAGGCAACTTCTCCCTGGCCCCTGGATGAGGTAAAAGGGGACAGAACCCAATCCCCCCTCCCAACCATTGCCGCCGCCATCGCCACCGCCCCACAAGGCTGAGCAGCCGGTGATTGAATGCTGCCTCGTTGGGGCCTGCTGAGGCCAGCAGCCAGCCAAGGCAGCTTCAGACACCAGGCCGCCCCTTGTCCTCCTCCCCCCCTGCGTGGCTGGCCATTCGATGGGCTCCAAGCAGCACCCACTGAAACTTACCACTGTTGGCTCGTGCTCGCTCGCTGTCTGCACCAAATGCTGCTTCTGCCCAAATTTGCTCCTTTTATAGCCTCACCCTGCCCAGATCCCTCGATTATGCCCAGACTCCGCATGCGTGGAGAGGGGGAGGGGAGAAGTCCACCCCGGCATCCCTCTATCTGTGGTAATGGCGCACATGCCGACAGAGACGGCGCTGCGTGCCGCCTGTGGTATGCGTGCCATAGGTTCGCCACCACGGGTCTATATCATACTAGTGTAGTGGGAACAGCGAGGCATTGAAGACACGGAGTAGAATTAACAGCTCTTTATTAGGACCTCACAGAAGCAAGCTCTAGCACAGTGGTTCTCAACCTGTGGGTCGGGACCCCATTTGGGGTCGATCGACCATTTCACGGGGGTCGCCAAGCAAGGCTGTCCGCCATTTTTTTTGTCCGCCATTTTTTTCCCCTTTTCCGACGGGTGCCTTACCTCCCTTGGGCTGGGACAGCTGGTGGTCGGCCTGCTCCATCTCTGCCGCTTGCCAGCTACGCCTCGGCCGGCGCAGGGGGCGGAACCACGCATGCACGGCGCTCCCGGGCAGGGAAAGTCCTCGACTTACGACTGGTTAGGTAGTCCTCAACTTATGACCGGTTTAGTCCTTGACGTACGACCGGTTTAGTCCTCGACTTACGACCGGTTGGGGTCGCGGCATTAAAAAGGTTGAGAACCACTGCTCTAGCAGCTGCCTGACTTATATTTATACGGACCGCCACTAGGTGGCGGCCAATCAGTTTAAAGCAGACATGTCCAAAGTCCGGCCCGCGGGCCATTTGTGGCCCGCGTTCCGGTTTAATACGGCCCTCTAACAGCCCTCCCTGCTCTATGTAAATGCGGCCCTCCCACGGCCCTCCGGCAAGTCCCATGAGAGAGAGAGAGACAGAGACAGAGGCACTTGCACTTGCACTTGCACTTCTGTCTCTCTCTCTCTCTCTCTCTCATGGGACTTGCCCCCTCGCAGGGCTCCTCATTGGCCC